CCTGAGCTCTACTCACAAGAAGACCTCACACATGGAACAGGTGTTGCCATGGATTTTCCCATCTGGGCCCTTGATGGGGTCATTCTCTCTAGTGCAGAGAAGCTGTCCATTCTTTCTTGATTTGCGGTATTCACTGCACAACTCCTGTGAAATTGAAGAAGGAAGTTCGAGGTATTGAACATAGGTTGGATCGTATTGCAAAAAGAGCTGAAGTTTAGACTTTTCCTTAAATGGAGATCAGCAATTGGCTTATTTTAGGATAGTTCTTAACTTTGAAGACATGAATTAAGTGATAAAAACATTATTTTAAAAATACTGTAACCTACTGAAGCAGAGAATTAAGCTACAATAATGCTCAGTCTTTTAAATGACAGAAAAATTAAGTATTAAACTATTTGTTCTCAAATGTGTCTTCTAAGTGAAAACCATTTGTTTTCAAACATGTATTTGAAAAATATGTTTTAATTTAATTTATCCTTAATGATGAAATATAAGAGATTTTTAAAAATTAATTTTTTCATGCATATTCTTTTTTTATAGGCCATCCCAATGATACTAGCTGAATTTATGGTTGTGTTATAAAGCCATTGACACTTTAATAAAAGTCCAAAAATAAACATTAAAAAAAAGTAATGGACTCAACCTAGAAATAGTCACATTTACACATGTGTATATGCACACTTATAAATAAATGTACAAACACAAACTGTCCAAATGTTTCAGTTTCCAAGAATTTATGGGTTGCCGAATACCAGCTATGGATCCCAAGTCCACATACTTCTGACCTCTGACCTGTAAAAGGTGCTCTCACCTCAAAAGAAGTTGTGTTCTCAGACTGTCTTTTATTTCTTGATTCAGCTTCTTTCTTTTTCTTTTCTTCTTCTGCTTGGCTAAAAGAGAGTGATTAAAAAGGAGATGAGTCAAAAGTGCTCTCAAATATCATGCCTAACCTTGTGCTCATACTAATGAAATCCTCAAACCTGCATGTCGCAAAGCTGCTATTATAAACCCAATTTACAGACAAGAAAACTGAATGCACAACTGTCCCAAGGACACACTAATAAATGCAGACTAAGGCATTAAACCCTAGAGCAGAGGTGGTTTTCTAAACTTCCAATATTCACAACTGTGTCTCTGACTACTATCTCACTGTGCTTTAATTTGCCAATAAATTCTCTACCTAAACCATTCTTGAAATCCCATGGTAGATCATTTCATCCATGAAGTCCTCAAACCATTAGAAATTTCCATTAGAAACTTCATTGGTCCCATTTTCATTCATGGAGACAACCTGGAACTAGTTCTATTTCCACATTTAAAAACAAAAAACTACTTGGATATTTCAAGACGGTGACTTTTCCCTGGCTACATGTGCCAAGCCACAATAACTCGTAAAGGACGTGGTTTTTATACATTTTTCCATCTCCTCTAAATACGTGATCTTCCTGTTGAAGCAGTCCTTTCATAACTGAACACAGAAATGAAGCAGGAAATTAATCTGAACTCAATGCTCACATTTTATAGAATCCCTGTTACAATAACAGTAATTGTCTAGTGGAAGACAGAAATGTTAAACAAATAGTCATGCACATACATTTATGAACTTGAACCGTGATTAGTACAATGAAGGAAAAGTTCTGGTTACTGTGAGGGTGAAATTTAGGGATAGAAGCATAGACTAGGCTTCGGCAAAGTTCTTCAAGCTGACGAGACACCTGAGAGGAGTCAAAGCCACTAGAGCCCAGACGTTCCATAGTCCGATTACCCCCCAAGTCCTATGTATGAACTGAGGTACTGATTTGCATATTTCTTTGTTGGGTTTGAGATTTGTTGTGTGATTTCAGATCACTTCACATCCCAGTCTGTGCGGGTAAGACCCTTCTTCTACATCATTTACACTTCCACAGGGTCTCAACTAGTGATTGACATGCAGAAATTATTTTTCGGTGATCATGCAAAAATGTGGTACAAAATGTCATTGACAAGAAACAAACACAATTGAAGACATAAAATATAATAAAACTCAAAAAAAAAAAAAACAAAGAAAAAAAGTTAAGCAGAAAGGACTAAACCTCCCTCGTTGCCCAGCTGCAGTCAGTGCTACTCACAAGAAGGCCTCGCACATGGAGCAGGTGTTGCCGTGCATTCTCCCGTCTGGGCCCTGGATGGGGTCATTCTCTCTGGTGCATGGGAGTTTTCCGTTTCTCACAAGCTTGCGGTACTCGCTGCACAGCTCCTGTCAAAATAGAGAAAGTAAGTTGGACATACATATCATTCCTATTTAAAGCAGAAGATTAGAGCATCTACATTGGCAGATACTAATGTTGTGTTTCTTCAAGCCCAGGTGTGTTTTAGGTGTGTTTCTCTTAAATGTAAAATTCAATTGAACTGACAACACTTATCAGTTGCTAAGAGATGGGAACAAATCAGACATACTAGGATGTCACAATATAATAAAATAAGTAGACAAGTAAACTCCACTATAATCTAACATAACATAATCTAAAATAACATAATCGTAAACATATAGGTACAAGAAAGTCTGAGAACTCAGAGGTTGAGATCATGCAATTTGATTGTGGAAATCAGGGTAGATGTCAGGGAACAAGAGTAATTTGAGTGAGACCTTGAAGAGTAAATAAGATTTTCCTGGGTAAGAAATGGAATGGGAAACATGTACTAGATTGTTAAAATATGCTGAGAAACACAAGGAGGACACTACATGGCATATAGCAGAAGATGAATTTTGGAATGAATCCTGTAGTTGATGACAAGCTGAATGTGGGCTTAAGCAGAGCAGTAAATATTTTGCAACTTTAGCTGTGTTAGGGAGGAAGGTTGAATAAGGGAAAGGATGGAACTTAAAGGAAAAATCAGGAGACTTTCATTATCTAAACAGTAGGTGATAATAACTTACATATGACTATAGAAATAAATATTATAATATTTCAGAGGTAAAAACCATGCTGTGTGTGTGTGTGTGTGTGTGTGTGCGCGCGTGTGTGAGGGATCAAGGTTTTTTAAATCTCAAATCAGATGTGAATTTAAAAGAATTCACATGTAGAAAATATACATGTAGAGTCTCTGAAAACTGATTAGTAAAAGCTGTACAGTCTGTAATTGATGAAACTAGAACTGGATTCATTTTTCAGGCTTCAAATTAATTATTTTTATTGTACAGGCTTAGCCTCTGAAGCAGCAAAAATCGATCGAGCTCCCATAGCATTCATCTCAATGTCATCCCCAGATTGAAGGGTTAAGATTTTCCGGGGATTTTTACAGGGCAATAAATATTTCAGCCTTTGGGCCCTTTGAAGTATGTTTAAATAATAGTGCCAAGTAGGATTTACTGGAGAGATTCCACTCACTGCAAATGAAGTTGCTTTTCCAGATTCTCTCTTACTTCTTTCTTCTGCCTTTTTCTTTTCTTCAGCTTCTGCTTGGCTGAATGAGAGAGAAAATAAAAAGAGCCATAATACCAGATACAGGCAATAATATCTCCACATTCCTGCATTGCTAATCTGTCCTCCTTCCTTTGCAAAAAACAATTTTGTCTTTTTGTCACTACATACCTATGAGAAGCAACAAAACAGGCTCTAGTATGGTAAGATACCATAACTTCTTCATAGTTTCTGCTTAACATTGAAAGAAAGATAGAAATTGTGGATCTGGAAAACTCACTTTCTATAAATTATCCTTCTTGCCAGTGGTCAGAAAAGAAACATCATTAAAGTCCATAAAGGAGATTATCAAAACTCATGCCACAATGACATTACACTTGGAGGCTGAAAGTGGCCTTAACAAAGCACATGGACTGGTTCCCTTGTTGTTTCATGGAGAGGAGGTGAGGCAGGGAGGCTGTGGCTACACGCTCAGGCTATGACTACAACTATCCAAGGTCTCTACATTCAAGTCTATGGTCTATCACATCATGCAAACCTGGCTTTATTAATTCAACTTAAATGTATTGCTTACTCATGGCTATGTTATCTAAAGACAAAATGCAGGCTGGGTGGTAAAAGGCCAATGATTTTTATACACTGATAAACCAAATGAGCATTAATTTGCTTTGAACAACAGAATTGCATGGTATGTACAGTTAACTGATGGTATTTCAACCATACATGTTGTCAATCAAAACAAAAGACCACAGATTCTAAATGTAAATCAACTTCTTCATCTGAGCTCAATCACATAAACTGAGAGCAGTTCCAAATTTTGAAAGTATTCCGTTCTTTGCATGATCCTGATATTCACTGCAAACTGTCAATTTTAACTTTTAGAGAAATATCCTATTATATCAAGTAATATTTAATGTAATTTTATAAGGGTTCGTGGTTATCTCATGGGCAACTTTAAATCTACTAATCAATTTCTATATTCAGTGCTAACTTTAGACCCTAATCCCCCTGAAAGATTAGATGCTTATAAACTTGTACAATAGGTTCATATAGGAAGCTCTAGCACTAGGGAGGACTGGATATTTGCACGAGCTCATGTTTGCTCCAGGGCTAAAGAATGAGTGCCAAGGGAAAACAGATGTCTGGAATAAACAGCTCTAGGTACTTACTCCCAGCTCTGTTCCTAACATTCTCAGTGTAACTTATTCAACTCCCTTCCCTATTTCAAAGCACAGTTTACCCACCTATGATACAAATTGATTCTATGAGTTTATCTGTAAAATCCCCTCTCTCCTGGACATTCTGTAACTCTATACTCACTAGAAGGCTTGACACATGGAACACAAGTTGCCATGCATTTTTCCATCCGGACCACGAACAGGGTCATTTTCTCTGGTACAGAAAAGTATTCCGTTCTTTGCATGATCCTTATATTCACTGCAGAGTTTCTGAATAATGAAAATGAGACAGCTTAGATAGAGTTCTCTGTTTACAAATTTTAGATGCTCTTTATCAATAATATTAGTAAAGAAGAAATAAAGGTCAACAATAAAGCTCTTAGGATTTAGGATCATCCAAAATTTTTGTGATATTTTTCTCCTTGTGATATTCATCTGTGCGTTCAACAAATATATTAAGTTAAAGGAATATAAATATGAATGCGGTTTAGCTTTTATATCACTCAAGTGGAAAGAATAAAGAATCGTAATATAGAAAGCTAAGGGATATGACACAAGTCTGAAATAAGTGTGTAGAAGCACAAAGGAAAAAATAATTTATGGAAGGTCAGAGAAAAGCTTATAAGTGAGTTGTATCTTTAGGCTACATCCAGGAAAACAATGTGGCAAAAAAGTCCTCCAGGGGGAATTAAAATACGCAAAGACATAAAGGCATAAAAAACATGTTATTTCAAAACAACCGATTATAACCATGAAGATAGTGGCAAAAGAATTAGCTAAGAGAGGGAGTTTTGAGAACTGGTCAAAAAGGAAATCTTGATGATAAATCAAAACTAGGCCACTAAACTTTGAAAAGAATTTGGATTTTAGTCTTAAAAAATGGGGAAATGAAAATATTTATAGCAGAGAAGGACACAATCATTTTGTCTTAGAAAGATGACCCAGCCAGATGTGTGGAGGATTTAGGTGGCTAGAAACTGAAGTTAGGGAAAGTATAGAAGAAAGGAATGATAGGGAGGGAGGAAGAAAGAAAGAAACGGGAGAAAGAAAGAGGAGAGAAAGGAAGGAAGAAATTGGAAGTGAAAAATAAAATAGTTGAGAGACATTTAAGAACTAAAATTAAAGGGATTTCGTAATCTAGGATTAAAGGGAAGAAAGTAGTTGAAAATGAGGCCTAAACAGGAAGATGGAGTTACATGAAGGCAGAAGGCGAACGAATGGAGTGGGCTATTTTATAAAACTGTGAACTACACATAATAGAGGGTGGGGTAAACTCTTGTAAGAAATAAGTTATCCAGGGTTTTTTCAAGGAGTGAAACGGTCTAAATAACTCTAGGATACCTTCAAATGTTGGATTTTCAAAATGCCATTGGTTCATAGAAATATTTCCTACTCTATGAAAACAATGTAGAAGATAAATTGAATCTTGAGGATTGAGGATTATGTTGGCTGGAAGTATAGATATCAGGCAGGATGCTAATGCATCAATGCAAAGGAAAGCTCTTAGGCATCTGAGCTAAGATGATATATAAAAAAGGCAAATGACTAGTCGAGATGTTTACAAAATAGAATGTAGTATGATTTGAAAGAAAGCATATTAAAATTTTCTACTTATATTGCTTTCAAAATAAAAACTTCCAAAACAACTACCACACATTTGAAGAAGGATTCATATCAAACAAGATAACGCTTTGATATATACCTTCATTTAGGAATGTGGAACTATTAGTAATATGAGTTGATTAATTTCCTCCAAATAGAGCTAAAAATCATAATGCCATATTATTCTTCTAAATCTTATAAAATAATAACTATAAATTGGTTTCCAGAAAACCCATTAGTAGTGAAAGAAAAATGAATCAATATTGAAAATGCATTCTAGAGTAAAATGTGCACATTTTACTGCAAAAGTTATAACTAGATTGATCAAACGAATCCTCACCTCAGTTTCTCTTTTAACTTTAATTTTTTCTTCAGCCTTTCTCAGATTTTCATCTGCTTTATCTTTTTCTTCTGAAAAACGCTGTTTGCTGGAGAAAGAAACAAAAGTAAACGAGTATAGATGTTTCGAACTTTCATGTTATAAAATAGTCATTTAGGTGCAGGTGAGAAAACAGCTAAATGGTTCTGAGTTCTTGAATAAACACTTTCCAATCACTGTAAAGTCCCTTATTATATTGAAATCTTTATTAGTTCCCCAAAGAACCCCTTTAATTTTTCCATTATGTATGCCATTCCCTTCCACTGCAATGGTTCTTTTAGTCATCTTCCTTTCTTTTAAATCTCCCCTGCTTAAATTCTACCTTCTTTCAGAAGATATCTCAGACTTCAACATGAAAATGAATTCTATATCTCTCACTGTATTTCCATACCTGAATATTCCCACATCCATGGTTTATTCTGTTAGTTACCCTTAAGGTTCTTGAGAGTAGGGATCTTTGTTCCTGAATTCATCCAACATTTAGTTAGAAAATATTTTTTGGCAAGCACTAGCCTGGGCCCTAGGCATATAGTAGAGTAGTACACAAAACAAACACATACCTGTCTTCTTGGAACTTATAGACAAGTAGAGAAGACTGACAGTCAACAAGTAGTCATAGAAATAATTATATGGTTTCCAACAGCAATGATTGTTATAAAATAAAATCATTTCAATTAGGGATTTTAGGAGGTTTCATCCAAGGAAGTATTATCTTGTAATGCAATATAAGGAAGAGAACACATTAGCTGGCCAAGCCTGAGACGAAGTGGCAGTAGGACAGCATATGGGAAAGAGCTTATAGAGTTTAAGGATCTGAAAGAAAATGTGATGAGACCTTGTTTGTGATAACTTCATAAATGCTATAATTTACATGTTGTGGAATCTGCTCTTCCCTCAAGGTCAGAAGTCCAAGTTGAAAAGATAAAGTTAATGCAATTCACATACGAACATGAACTTTTCGTGGGCATCCCATCTAACTCTGTCACAATGGGATAATTACTGAAAGAAACCATCAATGTCTTGGCATCTGATTTTACCCTTATTCTGTATTATGGCTATCTCATAAAAAGGTTTACAAGGTCCCGGAAGGAAATGTTTAGACGTATTTTGTAATCTAGTAATCTTCCAACTGGAAAACAAAATCCATTTGTACTCAGAAATAGACAGACTCGATTAGGATCTACTTGCTAGGTAGTATTATGATTTGCAGAGAGCACGAAACCACTCAAAAATTCTTAACAAATCCTCACCTCAACATAGTTCCTAGTCATTATTCCAATCAACCTCCACTTCACCTTCTGAGTTACTCCAACAAAACCACATCTATACTCACAAAACTTCGGCACACAGGGCACATTTGTTGCCATGCATCTTTCCATCGGGGCCACGGACTGGGTCACTCTCCCGTGTACAATAAAGTCTTCCATTCCTCACTTGCTTTTCATATTCCTTGCAAAAATCCTTTAAAAAGACAAGTAATTACATTTAGCACTTTTCTACTTTTGAATACAGAAAATGCACATCATAGCTCTATAGTCAAAGAATGTCAGGTCTCAAAGGTGTGGATAAACACATGTAGCCTATTGAGAATTAATAGAAAACAGTAATTACCTTGTGAAATTACACTGTATCTGCTATGTGATGTATTTATTAAAAGGTCAAAGGGCCTTGGAAAAAATAAGATTGAATAAATATTTTCTAAAACTAGATAGTTCTCATTAATTTTCAAATCTAGAAAAAAGATAATGAAAATGAAAGATCGTTCATGGAGTTCCACCAAAGACATAACAAAATGCAGCAGCCAACGTAAAAAAATAGTTGCCAATGAACAGAGTACAGAATCTGTGAGATGAGATGCTTAAACGCTGCTTAATATGAATGAAGTCAAGAGCAATCCAAACTAGTTGGCAAGGAGAAAGGAATGAGCTGGTATCCAACGGCATTTTGCTTAATTTGTTCTCCCCGTGGACCGGTGGATCATTTTTATGTACTCTGCCTCCTTTATTGATGTTCATAATATTTCTAATATGGTAGGTAGAAACCTCAGAAAGAGTAAATCTAATTTTTCTTTATTACCCACCTTAGAAGGGTAGAAAATCAAGGCAAATATTTATTTAGAAAACTTTAGAAAGGTGGTAACTTTCCCCAAAAAATCCAAGAGAGGTATGCACCCAGATTTCCTGACGCTTTGGTTCAGTACTTTCAGGTTTTCTCTGTGTTTTGAAAACTACTATTTGATAAGGTCTAAACTCACACACACACACACACACACACACACACACACACACACACACACACTCCAAATTACTCTAGACTTGGGAATCTCTATGTCAATAAACATATTTTGTGATGAAATATATTACCTTCATATAACCTACAAAAATGCTTCTCTTTAGAATTCTTTTCAATTGTTACCATTTCAGCCAAGAAGACATGCGTTTAAAGAGTGTGATTTGCAGTCAGAAGATGTGGGCAGCTAGACTGTACTCCTAATTCACTGGGACACTGTAATAAATCCTGTCATCTTTGGGACCCTCTCTCACTCCCTACACAATGAGGTTTTTGAAACAGATACCCTTCAGGCCCTTTTCTAGAGCTTGTATTGATTATTTTTAATAATACATATTTCATTAGGATGCTTTAAAAGAGAATCTCAATCACCTCCTAATAAGAAGATGTTTGCATTTGGAGGAGCAATGGGTGTGCTCCAAACTTCCTGGTTGTTACAATCCAGGATCATAGACTCAGATGACAAGTCACCTGATAATCACAGCATGGTAATAAAATTAATGCTCAATAATTCCCATAAGAGAAACAATGATAATTTCAGTTTATAAGTTGTGATTCAGTCAAGGAGATTCTGAACAAATATTTTAGTGAGCAACCCATTGACAGTTTAATTATGGGGCAGATATTGAGCCATCACTATAAATCAGTCCTTTTCAACATAATCATGTCCAGTGACTCCACCAAAACAATGACTACAGCCACAGAGAGGACAAGGGAAAAATAGCTGAGATGTGATGAAAGACAAGGGAAAAAAAATACTCTCTGTGTTTATGGAGTAACAAAATGCTGAATATCACAAGAAGGCCCAAAATTTTAGACAAGTTTAACAACCAGTACTAAAAAACTGTTTTTCAAATTTCAGTGAGTATTGAACAAATTACTGACGACTGTGTGTGTGTGTGTGTGTGTGTGTGTGTGTGTGTTTTAAATTATTGAGGTGACACTGATCAACAAAATCCAATGTTTCAAGTGTACAATGCAACAGTGTGTTGTATGTATACTGCATTATGTGTTCGCCTCCCATAGTGTTCTGTGTTACTTAATTGAAAACTGAATACCCTATGTAGGGTGGGAAATTTGCTTCATTGAAAAGCATTATGAAGTGGAAGGTTAGCCCTTGACTACCAAAAACTGGATCTATGTCTCCCTTAGGAAAGCAAATGCCCTGAAATTGGCAAAAATAGTATACATGGATAGCACAAAGCGGTGCAAGACAGAATCACAATCCAATAGGAAAGTAGAATTGAGATCATTTATCCAACCTCCTGATTTTGCTGACAAGAAAATTGAGGCCCAGAGAGAAGAGATGACTTGCTCAGTTTCACACACCCAGAGCCTGACAGAACTAAGGCTAAAACTCCCGTGCTCTGACTTCTCAACAAAAGGCTAGTCATTTAGGAAAGTAACTGCTAGCGCTTTTATTCAAAGTAGGGTTTAATAATCTCATTGATTTAAGAAATCCAGGCTGCATTACCTGCAATGCCTATTCTATTAACAAAAAGATTTTTTTAAATACTAATAACTAGAAAAAACAATTTTAAGGATATTAAACTTTAAAACAACGATCTCAATATTTGTTTGAGATTCTTATTTAAACAGAAACGAGACCTTTATAAATGCAGGCCTGACTAAATATAACAACCATAATGGAAGAATTAACGACTTTGATTACTGTCAATGGGATTATACATAAAATATATGAATGGCTATTATATTTAAAAGACTCTAGAATTATTATTTTAAAGTTATTCCTGTCTAATTTACATTGTTGCATTTTTTACAATTTAATCAAAGCAAGATTAATTTATACTAAACAAAAGAAAAGTCTGTTGAAAATTATAAACTTTATGACTTACAGTAATTTTTTTTTAAGCAAAGAGGAAATTGCATTTTTTAAAATTAATTAATTTGTTATGGTGACACTGGTTAATGAAATCCAATAAGTTTCATCTGTACACTTTAACAGTAAGGCATATATATATTTACACTGTGTGTTCACCTCTCATAGTGAGATTTCTTTCTGTCACCACATATTTGACCCCCTTTACCCCTCCCCTCTGGTAACCACTAGTCTATAGTCCATGTCCACGAGTCTCGGTTTGTTTGTCCTGTTCACTTGTTGCTTTCAGGTTTACATTCCACATATACGTGATATCATGTGATTTTCAACTTTTTCAGTCTCACTTATTTTGCTTAGCATGATGATCTCGAGGTCCATCCATGTTGTCGCAAGGAAGTTGCATATTTTGAGCATGAGGTGGGAAATGCCAGTTTTAGATTTGAATTTAATGATTAACATACTAGGAATTGTCAATTGAGGAATTGTGAAGTTAAAGGAAAAAATTTCATGTGATAATGAAGGACAATGGCAGTATTAAATTAAATTACCTCAGATGGTCAAGCATAAGTTTGTTAATATCTATAGCCACAAAAACCAAATTATGTTGGCGAATAATTTACCTCTTCAGCACTTCGTCGAATTCTGGTTTCATCATGTCGCTTGGCATTTTCTTCAGCTTCTTTTATGCTGTTAAGAAAGAAAACAGTAGGTCAGTTTATGGCTCCATCAAATTTTCAGTGTCCGGTTCTGTGCTTAGCACCTTCATATCCTTGCCCTAGCTAGTTAAGCTGATCCAATACACGAGACAAGCTTTTCTCTGTCTTGACTGTCAGAGCCAGAAAATTTCTAAAGATAAGGAAGGGAGTGAAACTGACTCACTCACTGACAGTCAATTAGAAGCTTTGTTCTGTAAAACTGGATGGGTGTGACTCCTTGATTGACAAACAGAAGACTGTCAGGAAAATTCCCTTTAACAGGCAGAACCAAGGGCTTTAAAACAATGCTGTGACAAGGGTGAAACCAAACTGGGTATTTGACATACTGTCATCCACACCCTTGTGTATAGCTTTTTATATCTTGTAAAGTATTTGTTTGCCTTCATGTAAAAGCATCATTGTTATTAAAAGCTACATGGAGTTGTGCTTCTAAGTCCTTCATATCTATTATATATAATTGCAGACTCATCCTGAGATAGGCATTATTGTCTTAGTTCTGCAGAGGAAGAAACCAGGAGTTAGGGAGGTCAGATTCTCTTTTTTAGCTTATGCATGAAAAGGAAAGGAAAGTCACAGAATTAGTGCAGGGTTGAACACTAAAAGTGCATGTCTTCTAGATAAGAAAGTGGATATTAGACCGATTTCCTGTCTGGAAACCAGTTATAATCATTGTTTTGTAAACCTGATAGGGCATGCCCTTGAATTCTACAACAGTGCACTGTAATTTTCAAAGGCAGGTGTGAAGTTTATGAACCTGTAAATCTTTCCCTGTCCTGATTTAAAGATCTAATGATGTATATAGAGCACTTTAAGGCTTTCTGACATACAGATCAGAGAGTCCATACCTTGTTTAACACCCAGAATATTACAGACTCATTGGATTGTACTCATACCTGGGTCTCAATGCTCTGAGCCACGTCAGGCAGTCAGAGAAAGAGTCACCCAATAGGTCCCCCTTTCATAGAAGTCCACCTTTTATACTAATAATGAATTTGGCCATATAGCATTACTATTATTATTATATTATTACTCTGTTAATTAGACTATCATTTTTAGTAAGAGTCTCTATTCATATCCAAATGAAGTAATACATGTCAAATGACTAATCTAGGTCATTCCATTTGAAAGTAGTTTTTAAATTTTAACACATTGTACCTTATAAAATAATATGTATTTTCAAGTCATTGCAATTAAACAAATTAAGAGTCTTGAATGTAATAACTAACACAATCATTAATTCACTCCTTGCAAGGACCTTTAGCCGATGATGTGAATTAAAAAGAGAAAAGCCACTCTGGGAGCAAGGACTGCTCCATCTTACAAAGACAAAGGATTGCATGCCTCGTGAAAAGGGCTTGATCTCTCTGTGGAGTGGTTCTTAGGATAGCAACCAAGTGCACCCTCATCAGGGCCACCTGCTTGGCCTGCTTAAAGATGATGATACTTACAACAGCTCAGCACACATCGCACACTTATTGCCATGTGTCTTTCCATCAGGACCAAGAACTGGATCATTTTCCCTTGTGCATCCAAGTCTTCCGTCTTTCACGTAAGGCCGAAAGGCACTACATATATCCTGAAGAACAGGGAAAGAACTTGACATTCACCATCCTGATTACAATGCTTACAACACTGTTTTCAGAAATTTTATAGAACTCAGTGCCTCTCTGTCCAGTGCACACTAGCCACCTAGAGCAGTCACAGACGTGTAGAAGTAGCTCAGTAGGTATTGTATAATTCCTATGGGTAAGTACGGAACTCATTTATTTATTCATTTATTAGAAAATACAGATGAACTACTATGTGCTACAACTAAGGTAGAACATAGTCCTTGTCCTCAACTTGCTCACCATCTGCTGGATGACACCAACAAAGAGATCTAAAATATGTTCTAAATGCCTTGGTTCAGGTAACCTCAGGTGCTCTAGCTTCATATAGAAATTGACTCAGAAAAATCATTCGGCTAGAAAAAGTCAAATGTGACATGTATGAGACGTTTGCTTTCTTCTCCTACCATCACAGGCTCACAGAATTTTAGCATAAAAAGAAACTATTTAATTCAAATCTCACTTTTAGATACAGAAATACTGGTACAGTATGGTTGAATTATTTGGCCAAAGGCCCCTAACAGTAAGTGAGAATGACGGGGTTTCGACTCAGGTTAAATGACTGAAGTGCATTGCCCTTTGTACTACACATTTCCTTCCTTCCTTCTTTTTCTCCTTCCCCTCCCTCTTTCTCTTTCTTTCTTTCGACTCAGGTTAAATGACTGAAGTGCATTGCCCTTTATACAACACATTTCCTTCCTTCCTTCTTTTTCCCCTTCCCCTCCCTCTTTCTCTTTCTTTCTTTCTTCCTTCCTTCCCTTCCCTTCCCTTCCCTTCCCTTCCTTCCTTCTTTCCTCTCTCTCTCCCTCTTTTCTGTCTGTCTTTCTTTTTCTTTTCCTCCTTCCCTCTCTATTTTTCTTTTCATAGAAAGCAGAAATAGAGCTGAAAGTCTAAAGACAAAGTAACCTGCTCCAGTTTCTGAAATGATCTACTACTTTTCCTTTAAACAAGCATATCTCATTTCGAGTACAGCAAGAATTACTTCCTTCCAAACACCCCACCAAAAACGAAAAGGAAAGCATCTTCTTTCTCTTAGAAGTCAGCCCCCCGATATTTCCCGCCCCTCTGACAGTTGTCCTCACCTGCTCTGGATTACTGTTTTCACATTCTCCTTCATTTTTTATGCCAACTTGGGACCTGGTTTTACTGGAATTGAAAGAGTACATGATGGTTTAGTATCACAGAACTTCTCATCATTCAAATGTATTGTTTTTCTCCTTTGTTCTTGAAAACAGATATCCCATTGCAGTTTTTACTTAATGCTTTCTAATGAGAGCCTATGTTTATAACTTGGAGTCCACAGAATGGATTCACATTGATAGCCTGATAATAGTGAAACCTATAAATATCATTTCCAGTATTTTTCCCGCTATGTCCAGAGGGGATTCATATCAGAAGCATGGCAAAAAGGAAACTTGTATCTAGATACCAGATGCCCCCCAAGGAATTTTGTTGCCTTTGATGTTTTCATTGTTTTAAATAAACAAATTCAAGTTTATAGTATCTAGCATCCTCTTATACCATTCTTCACTTAGGTTATGCTAACTAACATTTTATTTTTTTCATGGAAAGTACTTAAAGTCCTAATAATTAATTTTATTCAGCCTAATAGAGTTTTAAAGCATATCTGAAAATACAGAACTGCAAATGTAAGATACACTTCTTACTGTTTAAAAAGATAAGGCTGGTTACAATGATAGCATTGGTATAACAATAAAAATTCAATAAAAATAATATAAAGAAAAAACTAAGTAGTTAAAAGTGATAAGAAAAAAGTTATATCGAAAGATAGCTGAGGAAAACTAAACAAAACAAAGTTGAATTCTAATGTTACTCCAATCTTCTAGTAGACAGAGCTAAGAAAGAAATCCAACGAGCAGTGTAACCCTCACTGTACAATAAAAGAAGTAAACCAGAAATTAGGAACGGAAAAGTTTCACCTGAACCAGAGATTTAAAGAACCTATTACAGGATCCCCCACATAAGACACAGTAGGAACTGAATGAACAGTGCTTGCGGTAGCGTTACAAAACACATATCTGGTAAAAACCTGTATGTTCTTCCGATGTCTGTTTTTGTTTTCTGTTTCTTTTATGTTGACCCAGGTGAGAGTCGAAGGCAAAATTTTAGATTGTATTTCTGAAAATGCGGTCACGTGAGGGATCACGTGCTTTAATGCAGTTGTGTTTTGGTGAAGATACTTATTATGAGGAGGGATAAAGCTTGTAGAACCTTGAAGACTGAGTATTTATCATATTCCTTACAAGCTTTCTCAAACATTGGTTCTCATATTTACAAAAACTGAAGAGCAGACAATTCAATATTGAGGTCACAAGCCAGAACCTGCAAAGCAGGTATGCTATCTTGTTGGTCGAAGACAATCAATAACCAAACCTAGCATTGAGGGTGGAGAGAGAACCAAAATAGGTACATAATATAGGACAGTGAGATATTTCAGCTATGTGATAAAAGTTGTATAGATGGGAAATTTTATATTAAAAATCCCAATTACCTACTCTAATACTATGAATTACTGAGCACTTAATAATTAAATAATTCTCTGTGAGAAAGGATATATTCAGAAATAGATAGAAAATAAATAGATAAATGTGTACAGTGTATGTATGCATGTGTATATGTGTGTATGTGTCTATATGTATATAGATACAGATTATATGTCTATCTACTTCATAGAGACAGCGAAGTGATAACCATCATATAAACTTCACACAAAAGTGCTTTGTAAAATCTAAAGGATTATAAATATTTTTTTCTTTAAGAGTAGTAAGAGAAGTAGTCCTAATAATTTATGGATGACTAACTCCCACAAAATGGATTGTTATCTTAAAGACCATAAAAAATGTGTCACGTAATTAATTATACAAAGAAAATGCTTTAGGGAGAAAGCCTGCTTCAAAGAATACTCACACATTCTCAGCACACAGCACACATCTGTTGCTGTACGTTTTTCCGTCCGTGCCACAAACAGCTGCATTATCAAGGGTGCAGATAAAATCCCCATCTCTTTCTCCTTTCTTGAAATCATCGCAATTCAACTGCAAGAGACATGATTAAAGAATATCAAAATACTAAGAGATAAAATATTTCTTAGAAACATAATTAGGTTAATGTTTTAAGCCCATAAAATTATAACTCACTGCAGAAGAAAAACATGTTAAGGAGACCATAGTGAGCTAATAAAATCTTGGTTAATAAAACATGGTTCAAGAACAGAGATATAATTAGATTTCTGAAGAAAGAATTTCAGTCACTTGCTATCAGGGTGAGATAGATCAAATCACCTTTCTGAAACTTAGTACTATTCTGTTTTTCTATCAAATCCTACCTCTCTTCTCTCCAAAGTGGTATTGGGGTCCAGTAGATAATGGATATGAACATTCTCTATAAACTATAAGCTGCAATAAAGTTTCTGTTATTGTAAATTAAGGTAGTGATCAAGAGCCAGATAATTCTAACTCTGTCACTTGCTAGCTGTGTGATTTCAAAAATTTTTAATTGCTCTGTGCTTTAGTATCTTCATTTGCAAAATGCATATATTTTATCAACCTCTGAGGATTATAAAGAGATTTAAATTTGTTAATGCATGTACAGCACTTAAAAAAGTGGCTAGCACATTATATCCATTTATTGTTGTTGCCACTGTTATTTTAAATGTCTTCTCTAGTAACAGTCAAGCCAATAAAACTAAATACCTTTTAGGGATAATGAGAGAAATCCCAAAATCTCTGCTGTAATAATATGACATAAACTAAGGGACAAACCTGTATGGGAAGAAAAACAACTGTACTGGGTAGTAACTGAAGACTGGTGTTTAAATCTCAGATCTGCCATCCACTTACCTCACCTCTTTGAACTTCACTTTTCTCATCTGAAAAATGGGAATTCACACCCTACCCACGTTAGATTTATGGTGAAGATCAAATGGATACTGACAAAACATTATTCAGTAACTTGCTATTGTGACATAAGCTATTTAAAAAAGGTATAGAGTTAACTGGAATTTACTTTCTATCTAAAATTAAAGAATAAAATGAGATTTTTTTCTTTATGTTACACTGAAAATAAAATTTCGATGCCATTATTGTCATAATAAAAAATATTTTCATTATAGATATGAAACATTTAGAATATAGGCCTGTGAACTAGTATGTTGTACAATACAAAAAATACAACTAGGATGGATATAAATATGTAATAAATTTGTGAACCAGAAAATTACATTGACGAGCTCTTCTGGAAGACAATTAAAAAGGAAAAAATAAATAGAAAAAAAATCCTTAGAACATACCCCAATATTCATGTCATATGCTTAGGAAGAAGTAAAAAATAGAGTGAAACAGGATAAATAATGGCCATATGTGTTATTTTCATTTAGCTGGTTGTTCATTTATTCCTTAAAAACCATCACACATTCGAAAACCATTACACAGTTCAATTCTACTGGACTGTCACATTGCCATGCCAAAAGAAAGAAAAGGAAGAAAAAGAGAAAGGAAGGAAGGAAGAAAGAAATGGAATATATGATCTAACAATCTTACATTCTGATGGGAAGAGATAGATAATAAATACAAACAACTTTAAATTATAGTGCTATGAAAAAAAATTGAACGATATGATAGTACCTAGAAGAGTCGCTATTTAAAACATAGTGTCAAGAAAGATTTCTCTACAATGTAATATTTGAGGTGAAGTGAGATTAATGGGAAAGAGCCAACCATTAAAGATCTGAGGGAAGAACATTCGAGGCCTAGAGAGAACTACCATTACAAGGGATTTGTGATAGGAACTAAACTGTCCTGTTTAACGAACAGAAACAGGATGGAGCATAAGAAAACAGCAGGAGAATTGCTGGTTTTCTTTCAAAAATAACTTCTGGAGAAACTCTAGAAACATCAGGAATACTGATCAAAGTCACTAACTTCAACAATCACTGCTCTGCCCTTTCACCAGCAAAATCAACAGCAGCATAGCAGGTCACAGGTGTTAGCAGGGTGATGACAGGGTAGATGAAAAACCCAGCTGGGAGGTAATGAGAACAGGTGCAAGCATTTACTACACCACCTCCTCCCCCTCTGACCCCTAAGGGCTGGTGGTTCACAGCCCACAGAGGACACTCTTCCCACTGCTGACAATTGCCGAGAGCTTCCAGATCGAGTCCTGTCCCAGTGGAGTGGCAGCAAACTGGAGTGTTCAACACTGGTTTCAGATCCTTCAGCTCTGGGCCTATCCCTTTCCTTATTCTTACACTCACCAGGAGAGAAAGCGACTAAAGCTTGGCCTTGAATATTATTTCACTTTAGCAGAAAAACAAAACAAAACAACTAAAGCCATTATAGAATCTCGCAGTAAAAATATCTGTATATTGATGAGTAAAACAACATAAAAAATATGGTAATATGAACAATATTCAGTATCAACTGAAGCAGAATTATTGGAATGTGTAGAAAAACAATTTACTGAGAGCATAATAATGCTTTAGAGAGATAAAAATATTTAGAGGTATAAAAATATTTAAATAATAATAAATAAACTAATATAAAGAATAAAAATAGGTTACAAATACACAATGAATTTGTTAAATGGAAGATCAGATTAGAAAACTCTCATAGAAGGCATAAAAAAAAACTAATTTAAAATAGAAAAGAAAATAAAAAAACATAAAAAATAAAATTAGAAGTCTCCAAAAAGGGGGTAAACAAGAATAGGGAGACTATTTGAATAAATAGGAAACGTTTTTAGAATTAATGAAAAACAAAACAATGAGAGATGGAGAGAAAGAACCATAGCAACTCAAATCTAAAATATGGTCAATAATAAAATTGTGGAGATTCTGGGTATTTTAACAAAATGTACTGAGAGCAGACAAACACACATTAGGGGAGAAGATAGAGATATTAACAATAAACATACATATACATTAGCAATAGTGATAACTATAAATATAGATACTTGATTAAGAGTAGTCATAATAAGAACAAAAAAAAGATATGTTACATTTAAATCACCATTAAAAAAAAGCTGGAAGGAAGAAACTACTTTAAAAATAATTTTTACAAAAAGTCTGATAACAAAGTATGAAAAATTGGGAAAACCAACTTTTGATATGACAGGAATAACAAAATATATAAATGTACTAAACACACAAAAGATAATTGAAAAAAATCTGATCAAATTGTGTATGGATCACAAGAGAAAAATTAAAATTAAAAGGCACTCAAATATTAAAACAACAGGATAAGAAAGGATATTATACAAGGTAAAAATGATCATTAATACAGGGAAATATCCTTGTCATGAAATTTAAAAAGTTAAAATTTAAAGAACTAGGTATTGCTCAATCCATTATAAAATAAGCAATAGAGCAAATGTAAAGAAACAGGAATGAATGATATAGATTAAAAAAACAATAGAGAAGATTAACAAAAATGCTGATAGGATAGATTTCCAACATGACTTATAAAAGAGAAAGAAAGAAAGCATGAAAATAAAAAATACTTGCAATGTTTATTGGAAATAACCATAAACATTAGGATATAAATATAATGAAAGCATATTATTCACAAATTTTAAATGATAAGTTTTAGTAAATGTATGGAGTTGTATACCATCACAACTCAATTTCAGAACATTATCGTCAGTCCGAGAGTTTCCCTTGTGACCATTTATAGTTAATCTCAGCTCCCAGCTCCTGCCTGAGGCAAGCACTGAACTTTCTGACTCTGTAAATTTGCTTTCTTCTCAGTCTTAAGGCCTAGGTATTCACTCTTTAACCTTTAAGTATATTAGCTGCAGATTTTTCATAAATGCCTTTTACCAGCTGAGAAATTTTGTCTATTGGTAGTTTTTTGGTGTCAATTTTTATCTTAAATGAGTGTTAGATCTTGTTAAGTGCTTTTTTCTTCATCTATTGAAATGATCATGTGATTGTGTCCTTTATTCTATCAATTTGATGTATTAGATTTTCTGCTGAAGTGGACTTAAATTCCTAGAATAATTCCCACTTGGTCATGGTTTGATCCTTTTTATGTCATGAATCCTGTTCAATAATATTTTGTTAAAAATTTTTTCATCTATGTTTATAAGAGATATTTATTAGTAGTTTTCTGTATTTGTGATATCTTCCACTGGGTTTTGTATCAGAATAATACTGGCTTCACAGAATGAGCTGGTAAGTGTTTTCGCCTCTTCTATTTCCTAAACAGATCTGTAAAGGATTGGTATTATTTCTTCTTTCAGTATTTGATGGAAATCACCAGTGTAGTCACTTGGATCTAAGCTTTTTTTTTTTTTTTTTTAATCTAATTATAAATTTAATTATTTTACTTGCTATAAGTTTATTTTGATTTCTATTTCTTCTTGGATCAGTTTTTAGTAATTAATTTCTTTCTAGGAATTTGTCCATTTCATCTCAGTTGCTTACTTTTTTGGTGTAAATTTGTTCATAATATTCCATTATAATTATTTGATTTCTCTAAGATGTATATTGACATCTCAGATTTCATTTCTGATTTTGGTAATTATTGTCTTCTCTCTTTTTTTTTCTAGGTCAATTTGTCTAAAGGTTTGTCAGCCTCTTGATCTTTTCAAATAAACAACTTTTGGATTTATTTTTTTTTCTATTTTTTATGTTTTGTATTTTATTGATTTCTATTCTAAGCATTATGTCCTTTCTTCTGCTTGCTTGGGGTTTAGTTTGTTCTTTTTGTGGAAATTTAGATTATTAAATTGTGACCTTTCTTCTTTTCTCATCTAGGGTATTTAAATCTCTCTACAATTGGCACTGTTTATGTTAACTTCAAGGATGTGGAACTTACAGATACAGAAGACCTACTCAGGGATTTGAGCATCTGCAGAGTTTGGTATCTGTGGGGTGTTCTAGAATCATTTCCCCATGGATACCAACAAGAGATGATTGCACATTGCTTTAGCTGAAACCTGTAAGTCTTGAATCATTGTGTTTTGGGTTTTATTCAGTTCAAATTATGTTCTAATTTCTCTTACAATTGTTTCTTTGATCCATCAGTTATTTAGAAGT